CCCCCGCCGTCACTGCTGTCCCCCCCAGCTGCAGCCTGGCCGTGCAGCTCTCAAAGGTGCGGGAGAGTGTCCTCATCATCTCCACCGACCCTGCACACAACATCTCTGACGCCTTCGACCAGAAGTTCTCCAAGGTCCCCACCAAAGTCAAAGGCTATGACAACCTCTTCGCCATGGTGAGTCTGGGACGGAGGCGAGAGCCCGCCCCCCCTGCCCCCGCCATGGCCCCTCTCACCCTCCGAACCCCGACAGGAGATCGACCCCAGCCTGGGGGTGGCGGAGCTGCCCGACGAGTTCTTTGAGGAGGACAACATGCTGAGCATGGGCAAGAAAATGATGCAAGAGGCCATGAGCGCCTTCCCCGGCATCGACGAGGCCATGAGCTACGCTGAGGTGATGAGGTGAGCGGAGCTGTATGGGGCTGGGGGGGGCCTGTCGGGGGCTGATTTTTGGGGTCGTGACCCTGCTGACACCCTCCCCCCCCCCCGCTGGCCCCGCAGGCTGGTGAAGGGCATGAACTTCTCGGTGGTGGTCTTTGACACGGCACCCACTGGCCATACGCTGCGGCTGCTCAATTTCCCCACCATCGTGGAGCGGGGCTTGGGCCGCCTCATGCAGATCAAGAACCAGATCAGCCCCTTCATCTCCCAGGTGAGGACGGGGGCTGTGGGGACAGGACCCCCGTGGGGTGGATGGCATGTGTGGCCTCAGGGGATGGATCTCACCGCCACCTTCCCCAGATGTGCAACATGCTGGGGCTGGGGGACATGAATGCTGACCAGCTGGCCTCCAAGCTGGAGGAGACGCTGCCCGTCATCCGCTCCGTCAGCGAGCAGTTCAAGGACCCGGTAAGGCCACCAGTGGGGCAGGGAGGCTCCTCTGGGGGGCATCGGGATGCCAGGAGAGGGACGGGGATGCCAAGTAGGGGAGTGGGGACGCTGGGAGAGGGATGGGGTCAACAGAAGGGGGACAGGGATGTGGCCAAGCTGGCCCGTGCGCATTCCTGTGGGGAATCCTCCGCCGCGGGGCCGGGCAGGGATCCCTCCAGGGTCTCTGTGCCGGACAGCTGGGTCTGCCGAGGGGATGCTGAGAGCGGTGTCACCCTGAGACCAGTGTCGCCGACCGTGGTGTTGTGGTGTCACGCTAAGTGTGGTGTGGGGGCTGGGTTCGGCAGGAGCAGACAACGTTCATCTGCGTGTGCATCGCCGAGTTCCTCTCGCTCTACGAGACTGAGCGGCTGATCCAGGAGCTGGCCAAGTGCCGCATTGACACCCACAACATTGTGGTGAACCAGCTCGTCTTCCCCGACCCACAGCGGCCCTGCAAGATGTGCGAGGCCCGGCACAAGATCCAGGCCAAGTATCTCGACCAGGTACCGCCCTGATGCGGGGGTCCATGGCGCAGCGGCGGGGGCTGGGGGGCTGAGTTTGGGGAGCCTGGGAGGGGGTCGGGGCGGGCATTAACTTTTGGGGAGCCCAGACGCCTGGGACCCTGCCTGGCTCTGGAAGGGGAGGGGATCTTGGGTGGTGGAATTTGGGGAGCCCGGATGTCTGGGACCCTCCCCAAGGCCATGGGGGGGGTGCTGTGGGGGTTTGGGGGCCTGGATGCCTGGTTCCCTGCCCCCTGGCCCACTCTCCCCACAGATGGAGGACCTGTACGAGGATTTCCACATCGTGAAGCTGCCACTGCTGCCCCACGAGGTGCGGGGGGCCGACAAAGTGAACACCTTCTCCTCCCTCCTGCTGGACCCCTACCAGCCCCCCAGCCCCAAATA